TACAGTGTATTATACACATATGCCTATATCATACACTGCACATGTATATATGTGTGTATAATATGTATATTATATATATTCTAATTATTACACATATATATGTATATTTTAATATCTGTATCATAATGTGCATACTTATGTGTTATGATTTATTTATTACGTACTTTTCTTTTATATATGCAATATTACACATTAGGTTTTTTTTAGATAATATTATGCTCTCATTGAATCAAATAATAAGTTCTTCTTAAACACGCCTAATTCTCCGAATAGAAGGCATTCTTAATCTATCCAATCTGATCTCCCCGCGAGCCAGTTTTGGAAGCATACGAAAACATTCATAGACCTTGATATGCTGCTCAGGATGAGAAATGCCTACATTGGACAACGCATCAGCAACTTTGTTAGCCTCCCTATAGCAATGCGAGAATCATGCAGGATCCTCAACTAATTGCCAAATCTGTTAGACCTCTCTTCAGAACCGCCACGGGCACTGAATCTGCAGCTGAAGAATCCCAACTAAGACCAATGAATCCGATTGCACACATAGATTACCAAAACCCCGGACACACGTTTGAAGACCAATCAGAAGGGCCAATGTCTCTGCACGAAGGCAAGTAGTTTCCCCAAAGAAAGCCGAAAAGGCAATCAGAGGCAACCCAGTTGCATCTCGAAGAACTCCACCGCTCCACCCACTCCTGGATTGCCCTTAGCACAACCATTTGTATTAAGTATGAACATCTCACTCTCCTTCGCCTCCCAGCGAACAAGTTTGAATCCATAGGCAGGCGAATGCGACCAATCATAAAACTGACAAAATGTTTGCACCCCAATCTTTTGTTTGAACTGGATCTCCACAATGGATTTGACCTTCGAGAAAATGGCTTGGCAAATAGCAGTAGAACGCATCAAGACACTCTCAAATATCGCTTTATTTCTAGCTTTCCAAATATGCCAACAGGTAAAACTTGGGAGAATAAGACAAATAACCGCGGTTTCTCAGATTTTTGTGACAACAACCACCAGTCAACTATGCGAGCGCGCAAGAAAGATCCAGAGCAAATAACTCCACACAAACCTCCAAAATAATTCCAGACTTCCAATGCTATGTGACCATTGGAAAATACATGCTCGATAGATTCTTCAGACGCAACTTGACAACAAAAACATTTTGAAGGCAAGTTAAAGCCTAGTCTACATAAAGTATCTGGCAACGGCAACCTCCCCATCAACAACCGCAACATAAAAAATGACACTTTCAAAGGGATTCAAAGATGCCAAACCTTAGATAGAACCACAGACGTGTTGCGGACCTGCCGTATGTCACGAAAAGCTGATGCTAAAGTGAATTTTCCAGACTTCGTTGGCATTTAAATTACTTCATCCGCACATTCTCTATCAGGAACCGGATGCTGTAAGATGGAAGGAATAATACCCCTTGGCAAGATTTGAGATAATAGATTTACATCCCAATTCCTATTTATGATCAAATTGGGAAACGAAAGATTTGGAACAACTGTTGCTCAAAGAAATAAAGCACCACTACCCAACCAGTTGTCGTACCAAAAATGGCAGAACCCGTCATTGACTAGCCATAATATAAAGAGCTCCACTTGTCGACTCACGTTCAACATCTAGCTCCAGACTGCCGAAGCAGTCAGCATCAATTCTGCTTGACAAGGGTGGATCATTCTGCAGTACTTTGTTTGCATGAAAGCAGCCCACAACGACGACCCCATTCGAAAACTCCACCATTGTTTACAAGAGTGAGCTGTATAGACGTCTTTTAGCCTCCTCCGAAACCCCACTCCACTCTCCTCAACCGGGTAGCACAATTGAGACCATCGTATCCAATGAAACTTCAATTCTTCAGGCGTTGATCCCCACAGAAAATTCGAGCAGACCTTTTCTATAGTGCTAAACACCGAACGAGAGAGCACAGCAGCTAACAACAAATGCACTGGTATCGATGACAACATATACTTGATTAAAACTATCTTGCCTCCTGAAGACAATAGCTTTGATTTGCATGACAAAACCTTCCCCAAAATAGACTGACACACATCCCCAAAATATGATGATTTACACCAGACAAAGTAGAGTAGAAACCCCAAATAGCGTATAGGGAAGGGTTGCCAAGCAAACCTTGTAATGCGCTCAATCACCCTTCTCCTAGCCGGTGACAATGACGGATGAACCAAATAACCATATTTTTTAGCATTTATCAGCTGACCCGAGCACTTCTGATACACCTCCAACACCTGCATAATGTCCTTCAAAGAGGAAGAAGACCCATTCGCAAATATAAGCACATCATCTGCGAACGCCAAATGAGTTACCGAAGGGCAACCATATGGAACTTTAAACCCCAAGAAGCCCGAATGCAACACAAGGTTATTTAAGCCTCTCGACAGAGTCTCGGCCCTTATAATAAATAATGCCGGTGATAGCGGGTCACTCTGGCGTAGCCCTCTCATAGATTTGAAAAAACCATATGAAGGGCCATTGATAATTACCGAAAACCAAACATTAGACAACAACCGCCATACCGGATCTATAAATTGCTCCCCAAAACCAAACTTCCATAATACACCAATAATATGCAACCAGGACACCCTATCATAAGCCTTAGACATGTCCAGCTTCAAGACGATGTTTCCACCCCTAGGTTTTTTACCAATACCCGATACCACTTTCTGAGCTAGCAAGTAGTTCTCCGTTATATTGCGGCCCTTAACCAAACCTGTCTGCTGGGAGAAAATAATCTTTGGCAAAATACCAACCACTCTATCAGCCAAAATTTTGGGTAACAACTTTTGAAAAAATTACACAGGCTAATCGGCCTAAATTGAGAGAAATCCCGAGGATTCGAAACCTTTGGAATCAACACAATCGAGATAGAAGTAATGAATCAAGGCAGCTCTGCCCCACAGAAAAAACTCAGTATCGCATTATGAACATCCTGAGTAATAACTTCCTACGCAAAGGTAAAAAATTTACCCGTGAACCCATCCAGACCAGCTGCACTAACCCTATCCATTAACATCACCACTCGATGAACCTCCTCTATAGAAGGAACCGCCTCTAAGAGCCTATTATCCTCCCCCGAAATCATAGGTGGAATAAGATGCAACATATCACAAGTAGACCCTAAAGGTCCCGAGAAAAAGTCAGAGAAATATGTTATTGCCTCACTCGCTATATCATCATCCACCTCCACCCACACATCATTGGACTTTTTTATTCTATGTATCATTTCTTGAGCCCGTCTCTGTTGCACTACCGCATGAAAACACTTAGAATTGTGATCTCCACTTTGAAGCCATTTTACTCGAGCTTTTTGACTCCAGAACTGCTCTTCAATGGACAATGCCTAACGCAACTCCGCTTGAGTCTTCTTGAGTTCAACTTGTGCCTCCTCCGAATCATCTTGATCCATGGCCTCTTCTGCCTGTTGAACCGCAGCCTCTGCCACACAAACAGTATCGGATACATTTCCAAAACATTGCTTGTTCTAGTTCTGAATAGTCCTCCTCGCCACCAACAATTTAGAGCACAAAACACGTAATGGAGAGCCACTCACTTCTTGACTCTAGACATGTCTTATCACCTCCAAGAGTTGTGGTTTAGTCATCCAGACATTCAAGAATCGGAATGTCCTCGGCTTGTTATCTAACCGAGATGTAAACGAGATCTTCAGCGGCGCGTGATCCGATGGGCATCTCGCCAAATGAACTACAAAAATGGATGCGGAAAATCCAAACATTCCCCATTAACTAATAGCCTGTCCAATCTTTTCAAGACTCTAGCACTGCCTCTCCGATTATTACACCACGTGAAACTAACTCCCGAAAAACCTACATCAAAAACTCCAGCCTCTTCCATGAAAGACATAAACTCCACCCCCTCAGCTACAACAAATGGACGACCCCCCCTCCATTTTTCATGAGGCGTCAGTATGACATTAAAGTCTCCCCCAATGCACCAGGGAGTAGAACTAGGCTTATCAGCTAATAAGTTTAGCCATAAGTCCCTTCGCTCCTCCATAGAACATTTTGCATGAACAAATGACATAATGATTGAATCAGGCAGCAACAGATATTTAACAGATAAAGATATATGCTGATCCGAATTATCAACAATCGAACACACGAAAGGACTACTGTAGAACACCCAAATATCACTTGAACGATTAACAACCACAAAATCAAACAATAATCGTAACCGAATGGAGTCAATTTTAGACACATCTAGCTTTGGCTCACATATCATAGCAAATTTAACATGATACAATCTTACTAATTTTATCAATCTTCTTAGATTAGGGACTTTAGCCACTCCTCTAATATTCCAAAAGATGCCATTATTCATGAGATAAACTTGGAATGAGTTATGGGAAGATGTCGCAGGTCGAAGCTGTCTATCAGAGGGAATTCGAGCTCGCACGTCTTTCCCTCTCGCTTGCCAGAAATCTCGTTCAACCACCACAGATTGATCAACGTTCAAAGCCACCACCAACGACTCCAGCGACTTCTCTTGTCGAACCACCAGCCTTGGAGATAAATTTCTTGCGACATTAGGCAACTTAACTTCAGCTTCTCCCTATTCTCCGTGTGCCGCATCTTCCTCCCCATTTAGTTCAGCAGCCAAACTCTCCAGCTGGCTACTGTTTAACTGGCCAATCTGTCCCGTAGCTATGAGCTGTTGGCCAGCGCCCAAAGAGTGCATCGCGAGGGCCTGCTGCATCTCAAAGTCCTGCCCTCTTTTAGACACTAGCTCTGCAACAATTACTCATTGCCCCCCTTCCAATGTTCCCTCCACCCCGTAACATGTATTCTGATACCCATGACTAATACTAGTCATATCCACAATAACACCATCCACTGCAGCAACTAATTTGTCACCAGCGTGGCCCCTTGAGTCACACTCATGCTGCTCAATTCTATCACCTTCATCGGCTCGCACAGCAGTCCCAGCAGATTGTCTCCCCTCCATTCTAACTATTGTCCTTTTTTCAAAATCATCAGAGCCAGCTGATGGCGCATTCGACTTAGGTACAGCCTGTAGAACATCAGTGTCCTGGCCCCGTTCACAATTGGGTTGCTCACAGGGACATATATCTGTGGGTCATGCATCCTCAGGTTCCGATTATTTTGGCCGAGATGCAACTCAAAAGAACTCTTCTTACACTCATCTAGTGAATGACCCAAGCGCCAGCAAAAGGAACAGTACCATGGCATATCCTCTGCCACAATTCTTTGCCAGGAACCGATCTCCCCTTCGACAGCCACACATATCCTCGAAACGACTGGTTTTGCTTCATCAACCTCCACGCACACCCTGGCCACACTGGGGCAAGTGCCAGCAGCCATTGCCGAATCCAAGAATAAGGGCCTTCCGACTAGAGACAGAATAGAAAACAATGAATGCTTGCCAAAATAATGAATCGGCAGAGCCGGTAGAGCCATCCAAACCGGAACCAGAGAAGATTCCTTATGCATATGAGACTCCCTGGTCCAACGAAAAACTCGCATCGAAAATTTTCCTAGTTGCCAAATACCTTTCGTCCAAATCCTGTTGAAATCTGCCTCAGCTACACATTTAATCAACACATGTCTATAATCCATCAGCCCAACCGAGACATGGTCTCTCAGGTTTAACGCAGCAAAGAACTTACGAATGTCCTTCAGAGTAGGTCGACCATGAGAGAATTTCCCAACTAGAGCCCAACGAAACGGAGTCGCAAGTCTGTCTGTATCTTCTCTAGAAACTAAAACCGCAGCCTCACCTTTGTACACTGTCGCCGGCCGAATTTCGTCGCTGGCTATGAAAACAATTGGGAGAAAGATTTTTCCACTGAAGGGCAGCCATGAACAAACCCTGGGAGAAAGATTTTTCCACTGAAGGGCAGCCATGAACAAACCCTAGTGCAACCCTTCGAGGCGAATGCCCTAGCAGCTCTAAGACGGAACTAAGCTATTACACATTATGTAATGTATTAGTAATATATTATACACATGGTATGAATTGATCATGAGATATCACCTTTGCAGACCTCAACTACTACTTTCAATAGTGCCCTGTTATTGTTGTTACCTTTGCAGTTCTTGAAATACAAGATTTATTTACAAACTAAAGCTTTTCATTAAGTCAATTTTAAAAAAAAAAGTTAAATGAAAATGTATTGTTTGAATAACTATGAAATCTTTAATTAATTAAACTCTTTATGCCACTAAGATTTAGGGGTTGCTCCTTTTGGATTGATCTAAAGAATTATTTCAAAAATTATTGTTTTCTTTTTTGCAGAACTTTCTATTTATCTAATTTTGAATGCAATTTTACATTGCGATTTATGTCTTAACGTCAAGATTCAAAAATAACATGTTTTCTTCTCATAATACAATACAACAATGACGAGAAATTTGAATTAGACTCAAACTTCCGCTGCTGCAAGTGCATAAGTCATACACGACAATGTAGAATATTTAAATGTCGATCCCATAGGGAATATCGATCAATTGTTGAAAGTATTTGAACTCTTTTATTATTTAGGCAATCACTAGTGCTACTTAAGTAAACTACACTACAAACATGTACTAAAATAAAGTAAAAACTACAATAAAAATCTCCTTGGATTATAGAATTCGGAACTACTCTTGCTAGTAAATTTCTCTTGTTAATTGATTAATACTACATCGATTAGTTATGGTGTAATTTCCTATAATATATGATGCCCGTTTTCGTCGGTGTACCAATCCTACCTATAGTTAATCCATACAACTCTTGTGGTTGTAAAATCAACTAAAATCTCATGAAATAAAACAAGCCACAAAGAAACCTCTACTTTTATGGGCATACTCCCTAAATTTTGCACTTCCTTGAACTAACATTGAATCACAACATTCATTGATAATCCAACACCTTCAAATAATTACAATTAACTGCCAATTAATCATGATTAATATAACTAAAATGCTAAATAATTTGCTCAAGATAATAGCATCAGTTAACCAAGAAACTATCATATAACAATCACAAATAGTTCGTCCAAAATCCAGGTCATGAAACTTAGCAAATCAATAAGCAAATGAAAACCAGATCCAATCTTGTATTATAACCAAATACAAGAAATGAAGAGTTAGAGAGAAGAACCCTTGTCAAATAAGCTTCCAAACTCTCCCTCCTTCATTCTCAATCTTCATCTAAAATTAGCTAAACACAAGAGTAGATGAACCAATCTAATCCTACACTACCTAAGAAATATAGAGTTTTAGCTATTTTGTGGCTGTTTTGCTCTTTTTTCAGCTACAAAAATTACCCATGGAGATCCCTTTTATAGGGAAGAAGAAAGGAAGCAATAGTTGAACAAATCGTTCAAGTTAGAAAGTTGTAGCCATCCAAAATCCAATGGATGGATTGTAAAGAATCTGTGGATGGATTGCTTACTCTATTTTTGGTCTCTGAGGTGAAGTTTCTACCTTAATTCCATGGATAGAATCTATTCATGCACATTAGAATCTGTCTGTCGATTCACTATCTCAATAAAGTACTTTAAATTAGCTCTCGTGCAAAATATAAAAGTTGTAGATTGAATTAGGTTTCCAATGAATTAAATATCAAGTCATTTATTGGTGTAAGGTGTTGAGTTATGCTCAAACTACCCCTAATTGGTCAGAAGATAAGTAAGTGTGTTGGTTTCGAGGATCCTTTTTGTTTTTTCACTGCACTTTATTTATTCATCATTTGCACTTCATGTACACTTGAAAACCACTTTATGTCATCAAGAAACATTTAAACATATTCTTATTTCATTCCAATTGATGCTTGGATATTCAAAACCTACAAATCATGAATTTTTCATTGTTTAGTTCGATAGGAATGTAATTTTCCTAACTTTAACCTCAAACTATAAAATCCAAATAAATTTCTAATTATTTGACTTGAAATTAAATGAAAAACACTAAAACACACATAAACACCCAGACACAAGTATGCAAAATGAACACTTATCAAGCAAAAAGTCAAAATTAAGAACACGGTCCTACACATATCAAATCAACCTCTTTAAATGACTAAATCACTTCATTGACATCCAAATTATTACCAATAAATTAAAACAAGAGAAATACTCTAATAATCATGTACAGTATATAGTAGAAGATATGAAAGGATTTGAGAAATAAGCAAGAGTCTGACTCCACTAGAACTTTTGCCAAATTCACTCCTAGAGATAGCTTCAGTCCAGCAAGAGATTGAAAAGAAAAAAGAAATCTCAAATATGAATATTTGCATGAATTTGGAAAACATGCCTAAGGTAGAGGAGTAAATATTGCATTCTTTGAGGGTTGAGAATCAAAAACTAGAAATAGGGGAAATGAAACAAATGGAAAACAAACTAATTTAGTACGATATTAATTACTCAAAATCTAGAAATTCAAGAAAATTCTTTACAAAATACTAAGTATTCTTGGTCTAGAAATCAATCTAGACCCTATTCAGAAGAAGTAAAAATTTGGGGGTCTAGGATTGATCAACATCAAGAATAGTACTCCAAGTTATGATTAATTGACTACTATAAAATAAATGATCAATAATATTACTCCTGAGTAGAAGAAGACAAAATAATGCATCATAGACTTGAGAACCATGATCAAGACAACAGAGTTGATCAAGATTCAGTACAAAGTACTTGATAAAAGTTGAACCCTTCATTATTGGCAAAGTAAACTTGTAGAGGAGGTGTTGCTTCCATGATGAATATTCAAGATTGTATCCATTGCTGCAGTAACAAATGAGAAATTGCCAAATATAGAAGGATTGTCGGTGGACAAGTGTTAGGTCCTAAAGTAACCTAAGAGGTGAGGTGAATTAGGTTGATAAAAATTAAAGCAAATAAAGACCAATTTTCACCCAATTATTCAACCAAAATAATTTAAGTAAACAAGAACTCAAACAAACACAATAATAATAGATATAAGCAAATTAAGTCATAAAACAAATAAAAAAATAGAACAATAAGTAAAAGTATTGCAAACTAATAAAACTCCCAAAATTCTTCCAAAGTTGAAGTTGAATCAACCAAGTTCTTTCTTCATTTGATGGTGACACTAACCAATTTGTACAAGTGAAGGCTCACTTCTTCCTGACCCTAAAAGCCTTTAGTTAAGCCAAGGAGTTTTACAACTCTCATAATTAACTCTCAACTAATTACTACAATTGAAAGTTCAGCCAATCAATTAAGCACTACTTTACAAATGAGGATCACCTTCACAAAGGTTTTATTTCTCCTCTTTGAGAAGCCTCACAAACCCAACTTTTTCCACACCTATACAATAATCAAAGTATATTTCTACCCAAATATCACTCTTTAAAGCTTGTATTTTGTGTAGACAAAATTCATTCTTCTTCTCATACTTGGGAGTATTTATAGATGATGAAATTTTGCCTCAAAAGCATCTCCAATGTCAAAAAGCTAGCTATTAGAAAACTAGCTGTTAGAGCTGCTCAACGTCTAACAAGAACCCTCTACGCCCAAGCCCTGCATTCGAAACTTGATTAGATGTTTGATCCAAATTTTCTGCATTTGACAGATGCATCCGAAAGAAGGTCAGAATGTTCTAATCTTTACTCTCAATATTTCAGACGACCGACAAATGAGATGCGTTTGATCCTTGAGACACCGTCATCTTCTATTCCTTCTTGACTTTCTTTTCTTCTTATTTCAATGACTAAGAACCTATCGTAAATCATTTCTTATGTCAATACATTAGTCGAAATCATCATTTTGTTTCATTACTATCAAAACCAAGGAATGGTCAACCTAAGTCTTCAATCTCTCCCTTTTTGATAATGACAAACAAAGTGATGATTTCTTTGATGAAATAAACAAAGTAATGATACCAATTGTAAGGTCCCAAAGCAATCTAAGATGGGGGTGAATTAGGTTGATTAAGAACCTAGTTGGATTAGAGGCAATTTTGCACAATTAAAATTTACCAAGTTGTCTAAGTGATCAAATCACTTGTTTACACAAAAACCAAGTATAATCAAGTAGAATAAAGCAATGAAGAGCAAGTAAACAAGTGAAATAAAGGAATCAGAGAAATGATAAGATAGTGTAAACCAACTCTTCCAAATTTAACCAAACTTGAAGTTTTGTTCCACTAATGAAATTTCTTCAATTTGGTGAAGCAAACAAATCTTGTAAAATAGAAGGATCACTCTTTATTCACCCCAAGCACTCCTTGGTTGATCCAAAGAGTTCTACAACTAACTTCAATTAACCCTTACAATGCTACAAATTGAATGTCTCACTTAAGCTTGAAAAGCTTTTACAATGATTTCATCTCACAAACAATCCGAACTGTAAAAGGAGAGTACTTTCTAATTAAAATTACTCTTGAGTATCCTTTTCTATTTTTTTATTTTTATCTTTTCTTACTGGAACCCATTGTCATTTTGGATTTCTTCAATGAACAAGAATGTCATTATATATTTTTTTAAAATTTTAGATGGTTGAAAATTGGAATCCTCTGCTTCGTAGTAAAAGAATGCTAGTAGAGAAAGCCGCTAGCAAAGAAAGGGAAATTGAAAAATAAAGGCAACCATGGTTATACTTATTTTTTAGGGATAATTTTAGGAACTTCCCTTGAGGTTTCAAACAATTTCACTCGACTCCCTTCAGGTTTAAGAAATTACACTTACATCCCCTGGCATAATAAAGTACATAAAATACCTTTCACTTGGTAGACACTTCTCAATTTAAAGCAACAGATTTACAAAACCCAAAATCTATATTTCTATTTCTTATCTATTTTTGCTCCTTTCTTTCTAATTAATATACTATTATACCCTTTTTTATTATCTTCACTTTTATGGATATTAGCAAATTGAAATTGCAAAATTAATAGAGGGA